ACGGGGATCGAGAAAACCGAGTTGTGGTATTGCCCACCTGCCGTGCTGAAGTTGAAGAAATAAGCTCTTTTCGTGGGAGTCGGTCTGGACGGCTCTCCCCTCCTCAAACGCCCCACCATGACGCGCCTCAATGATCTCTACAGACACTCGACCAAAGTATTTCTATCGGCATGATGTGTGAAAGTCAGCAGCTCGTAATCGTCTACCTCCTCCTTATCATTGACGGTGTGCAGCCTTTTCTTGGATTACAGAAACCCATTGAGCGGCCGATTGGGGCCGTTATGCCATCTTGTATCTTGTGTGGCCTAACATCAAGCCATTAGTCTGGGATGACAAAATACTCTCAAACACACACTCGCTGAAGTGATGAGTGGCCGATAGATCTTTTGACTTCAAGTTGGAGTTACAGGGATGTGGCAGCGCCAATTACTCACGTGACATGCCATGATACTATGTGTTATGCCGGGATGAACTACGACTTGACCACTTAGATTGTTGCTTCTATCTTATTTCTTCCAGGGGCGATATGCATTCCTACCATAGCGAAGTTTCGAAATTGTGGATCTATTCTCACTGTCTGTGCCCTGTTGCCCCCTAAGTTGAACTTTGCATCTTAGCATAAACCACTTACGATAAAATCGTGTCCTTGACAGTTAATCTACCTAACATGAACATGTATTTGTAGGACATACAACCCGACAACCCCCAAGGACCGAACTGCGGTTCAATACTGTGACACTTTTACCCCAATGTAGGGGTAGTAGAGTATATGCCTGCATACAACGGCAATACAAGACACGTGGACTTGCTGGAGACTCCAGCCTGGAGCTACCCGACGAGACGACTTATATCCCCACCCGAGGACTCGACACAACATCAAAATCAGACTAGCCAAATCGGAAGTTCAATAATACTATACAAGACAGCTTGCGTTCATCACAGGTAATCCCGTTAAGACATACGGTGGAGAAAAATCTTCGTAGTATTGAGGAAAAAATTCGGCGGCAACAGATGTACGATGCCCTATATAGCTTTTGTATAGAAAGTTTCAGTAAATCACATAGTAGAAGGGGTAACCTCACCCTCGGACTTTTCCTCGAGCGAGCGCATGAACTGGAAGAAGCCGAACTCGCTAGTCTGTAGACCATTAGAGTAGACGAACTCGTCAGCAATCCAAGTGGCAACCATAGCATTGAGATAAGCCTCGGGAGTGTTCTCGACAATCTTATCCAAACCACAATGAACAAGAAGCAACCTGGGCACACAACGTCTGAGAACAGCACGAACCATCCAATCATTCTCAGGATCATGTTCCTCGAGGACGCCAAGGATATAAGACTGCATGTCGTTGATCTTCTTCGACAATAAGATGGTTGCATCAGTCTTACGAATATACCTCGATCCATCAGGATACTTCACCTCATGGTTAGTCTTCCAGATGCCATTGAACTCCATCTTGGCGTTATGACGGACAGCGGCAAGAATCTCCTGAACGTATTGTTCGTAGAACTCAGGAGGAGCACTGGTCTCATCACGAGAACACAGGAACTTGTCATGATCAGCCGTGTCCATGCAAAGAGCGGCGAACACTTCCATACTGCTGGAAGTAACACCACCCTTGTTGGTGGAAGCATCCTTGAATAGCTGCACACCAGCATCCTCAAGATATCGACGAGCATCATCAGTCAAGAATAAGTTGGCACCCTCTACAACATACTTGAACTTGAGCTCTTAGTCTCAGGATTGAACATGGTCTTATCAACATTACCAATGTTAATAGTACCAGGGCGACCACCACAAGGAATGAAGAGATCAGCGGAGAAGTACTCCATCTCAGGGAAGTGATTCCGGACCTCAACACCGGACTTGAAATGATCACCATTCGGAAGAGTTACATCCTTATCGTCAATAGTGACCAAGAATGCCTTCGGATCACTTGACAACTTATCACGAGAGAAGTTAGCAACACCAACTCTGAGATGAGCAAGACGAGTGAGCTCCTCTCTGTTCAATCCTTGAGGATCATAAGCAACACCAGTACCATCACAGATAGCAATGGTCTTATCCTTAGAGACGAGGATCTCGTTAGAACCAAGATCACCATCGGGGCCACCGGACATGACCTTGGTGAGCTTAGACTCCTCAACACCCAACTTGTTCAGAAGCTCGGTAACGTAAGGATGGATGGAGTTTGTTGTCATGGCGTACTTGTCATGGGGGATGCCACCAAGGACAGCGGACTTACCGGTAGTCAAAGACTTCCAGTATTTGTAACCACGAGCCTTGGCTCTCAAAGCACCCAACTTCATGAATCCAGCAGTATTCTCATCGGGACCGAAGAAGAGCATCTCAGGCTTGGAGAGGTTAGAATAGAGGCCGGTCTCCTTTGCCAGGATGCAATCGAGGAGAGCATCAACATAGCTATTGAAAGCATCACGACCACTGGTGTTCAAGTTCTGAGAATCCATGTCCATGAGGATGGTACCCTTCGATCCGCCCTCGGGGATATCCTTGTTCTTCAGCTGCTGAGTAAAGGCCAAGTTGTAGTTCTCCTCCAACAAAGTAGCGCAGTTCTTCTTGTAGACCTGTCTGTTCCTAGATAAGATGAGTCTGATACCACCACGAGCGATCTCAGTGAATCGGATGTGGAAGCCATAGAAGCTCCTGCCGACGACAGATAGACAGCATA